GGCCTGGGCAAGGCGCCTGTGATGGTGTGCAGTCAGGCCACGCTCCCTGATGACCCAAGCAGAGGCCCTGGGATTTATTTATTTTCTATAACTGAAACTTTGTAGCCTTGAGTGGAGGCCAGGGCCAGCCAGGAAATTTAGCTTCCTCCATTGCCAGGGAAACCCAAGCCTCCTGCTTGCTCCATGGTTGCAGCCATTTTTGTTGGGGTTTATTTATCTTCTATAATTGAAACTTTGTAGCCTTGAGCAGAGGCCTGGGCCAGCCAGGGTGTGCAGGAAGCTTGGCTTCCTCCATTGCTGGGGAAACCCAAGCCTCTTGCTTCGTGGCCACAACCATTTTTATTGAGTTAATTTGCATACCCACTCCTGATTGGCTGGTGGGCATGGCTTGTGGGTGTAGCAGAGGTATGGTCAATTTGCATACTACTCTTTTATTAGGATATACATGTATATCCTATCTAATAATGAGGGAATATGCTAATTGACCATCACACCCTCGCAAATATGAGGAGGGAATATGTTCATTTATTGCCACACCCTCAAAGATGGCAGCACCCAGTCCACTCAGCCCCACTGCGGCAGCAGGCATGTGGCACAGCCAGGCCTGCTCCTAGGTAGGTCCAGCCACTCTGCAAGCCTGCCTCCGGAGTCCCCCAGTTCCCTCAGCCTCCCAGCCGCCCAGGGCTGGCCTCAGGAACAACCAGACTGCATGGGGTGGCCAGGCCGGTGGTGGAGGCCATGAGGAGTGACTAGCCTGGTGGGGGTAGGGGGGAGCAATTAGGGGCAACCAGGCCAGCAGGGGGGGCTGTTAGGGGTGACTACGCTGGCATGGGGGGCAATGAGGGGTGATTAGACCTGTTGGGGGGGGGGTGCAACCAGGCAGGCAGGTGAGGGATTAGAAGCCAGTGTTCCAGGATTGTGAGAGGGATGTCTGACTGCCCATCTAGACAGGCAGGCAGACATCTCCCAAGGGGTCCCAGATTGGAGAGAGTGCAAGCTGGGTTGAAGGGACCACCTCCCCCATGCATGAATTTCATGTACTAGGCCTCTAGTGTGTGTGTGTGTGTGTGTGTGTGTGTGTGTGTGTGTGTGTGTGTGTGTGTATCTCCAAGGATAGGCTAATCTATGGGGGGGAGGGGAGAGAAAGCTGAATAAGCTGCTCCAGGGATTAGACTAGGAGAGACAGGGCATGAAGAAGCATTCTATTCTGAGGTCACAGTAACTTGTCTATCTTAATATGATTTGTGTTACATGAGTGTTACGTTGTTAAAACTTGTTACATGGTATTAAGGTATGTGTGTTTCACTCAAAGTTATCTTTTACCTTAAAAACATTAAGTGCAAATATTAAACTCTAATTAATGATATGGACACTGAAGTGTTCAGGAGTGAAGTATACTTGAACTTACTTTGAAATGCATAAAATACAGTGACTTGATGAATGGGTAGATATGGGTATAGGAGCACTTACTGAACAATTGTAGTTTTTTAAGTTTTTTCATAGTAAAACACTGAGGAAGAGGGATATGTGCCTAATTCTTAAAGGTCTATTGTAAAACAGGGGGTCACAGTTAAAAATTCAGGAATTAAGAGACTGAGCTTTGAGAGCCAAGCAGTGCAAGCAATGGTGTTTACCATCTTCAGCACTAGGGCAGAGCCAGCTGAACAGTAGGATGTCTTCCAAATACAATAGAACAGTAAGTCTGAGGTGTGAGGCTGTAAGATCCCTGAATAAACAATAGGCTGCACACATGGAGAGCTTTGCTGTGCATCTGTAGCTGCCGCTGTGGTGGTAGCTGCTGGCTCAAACAGCTGCCCCCATCCTGAGTGCAGAGGACATGGAGACTTCCACACCTCTGTCTCCAGTCACACATTTCCTCTTCCTTTCACGCCTTCCATTTCACTGACCTTTGGTTCCATTACATCCATACTGTCCTTCCCACCTTAGGGAATGCAGATGCTGCGTGCCCTGCTGGTGAGACACTTCCTCTCCTACCCTTGGTCCCTCGCTCATTTCTGTTCATTCTTAGACCTCAGCTTCCGCTGGCCCACAGACCACACTGGGCACTCCCACCCCACCCCCAACTAAAGCACATGTGGAACGATCCGTTACTTCCTTTGACAGAATTTGATGTCTCTCTTTCTCCTTAAACTAGAAGCTCCATGAGGGCAGAAACTGGCCAGCAGTGGACTTGTACAGGACAGTAATGGCTTACCTTCATAGCACTGTTATAAATAAGCCCAACCTTTTAGGGTTAAAAGTGTAATTTTATTTAGATGTTACTTGTACATAATCTATAGTAAGATATACAAACAGATAAAAATTGTTTAACAGAAATTTTTTTAAGACCACTTTGAATTTAATTTACAATAGCATTGGTAACATCGCAGGATGACAGATACTCTGAATAGAAAACAAAAAGTCCTTGTTCCTCTGGCTGATGTGGTCCCACTGGCCTTTAATGGATTAAAATGTATCATGTATTCAGCTGCAAATTATTACAAAACTTTCACAGCCTAGCCACTGGGTGCTAAGAAAAGATTTTGATATTCTAAAAATTTACTAAAATGAAAATGTCAATGCTTTAACAGTATACTTTACCTAAAGGAAAATGTAAGGGTACCAAATCTTATCATTTGGTTTTGGTCTAACAACAGAAAATCAACCATATCATGTTTGTGTCAGTAAAATGTATGACACTGACTGATCTTCTCATCCCCTCTGCCTAACCTACTAATATGAAAGAAAGCTTGTAAAATATTAAACTAAAATATACATGGGAGGGAAGACTGGGGACAATTTAAAATAACCTTTCAATAATATATAACCACTTTAAAATGTAAAATTCATAGGTATGAAATAAGCCTTTAAATGTTCTTCTCCATTTGTTTTAGTAAATCCTTATTGAAAATGAAAACTGAAAATTCAAAATATTCACTTTTTCCTTTTCACGTAATACCATGTTAGAAAAAGTCTAAATTTAAATTTTAGAATCAAATTTATTGAGAAAAATACTGCAAAAATAATCTAAATTGAATTTTAGTCCTTTGCCATTCTTTTGAAAGCTACATTACACGCCAGCACAAAAGCTTTTTCTCTAGTCAAAAAATCAAGTTGAAAATAACTTGTTGATTAAACTACAGGCAACTAGTAACTAATAATAGGCTTATAAATATTTATGAATAAAGTACCACTGATTTCACCGTAATGACCTATGGACAGAAGAAATCCTTACTTAGATAGTAGCTTTACGTATCTTCTCCATCCTGAGAACAGAAAGGACAGGAGAAGCAAAGAAGCATCACCCAATGTGAGTGCTAGAATTACACAGGTCCCTCCTACTCCAAAGTACGAAAATCCCAAATACTGCAATAAAGACAAAATAAGACTAAAAAAATGGTAAGTCCCAATAATAATGCTAGAAATTAAAGGTTCATTAATAAATTATTTCTTCTATTGAATAAAATTATGGTGAGAGCCAAATGGTGACTAGCTCCAAGATACAGAAACTCAAAAGTCATGTGCTGATGAAAAGTCTCGACGAGCTGGCAGAAGCGTGGTCTTGGAAAGGGGATGCAGACATGAGGCTTTCAGAGTTTCAAAATTTATGTGACTGAAAGCCAACGTACAGGCCTTCTGTGAGGACCGCGTACAGGCCAGCCAATGTCCGTGCTCTGGGGCCGGCTGACTTCCTCAGCTGCACTCGTTAGCACACTCCTTTAGCTACCGTCCTGTTCACAACCCTACCATCCACCCAAACAACTCTTCCGCTAAAGATTCCTTCACCATGTCTGAGTGTCCCTGGACCTGCCGCTTGTTGGAAATGTGGGGTCTTGGTACAAATTCCTTAGTAAGTAAAGTGTCTTAGTGTTTTTGTGCTGTCTTTATATATACTCTTTATATATAGTCAAAGCCTGGGTGTTTGTTTATGCTGGAGAAGCAGTTATCCTGCATCCAAAATTACAGAGCATATGCTCTCATTCGTGAGTCTCCCCACGGTTTGCCTTCACCAAAAATATGACCCCCATGGGACCGTGGGGAGAACCGTAGGAAGGGAAAGGTTACAGGAACGTGACCTGCTACAGCTACAGGTCTAATCTAACCTGAGGTGCTTTTTAAAATGTCATGTGCTGACGACAAAGTGAGGAGAGAACCCGTGCTTCCAGGACAGAGCGAAAGCCCGCTCCTGGGATGGATCCCTAACCTGGCCAGCACAGGGAGAAGCAGAGAGCTCTCATGCCTACATTCGCCTACACCCAGGCTTTCAAAGTTCAGACCGAGGGCAGTGGGGAGCCGTCTGGAGCTCTCTCTAGGGCGCACAGAGGAGCTCCCGGGAAGCAAAAGGCAAAGGTCTCCCTCGCACTCAGAGCCCACACTCCGCAGCTCTGCCCGGCGAGGCCGGGGCTCCCAGACCGCGCAACCTGGCGGCCGCCCACACGGAAGGGCTGTCCAATGTTTCCAGCGGCATCGCCAATGGCCCCAGAAGGAAACAGAACCCTGTTCTTCATTCTGTTACTACCGAGCTGCTTACCTCTCACAAAAAGCATCCACAAACACTGACTAAATGCCCACTGGGACTCCTGCCTGAGAAGGCCCTTCCAATTCCACATTTTATAAGAGCGTGCAGAGGAGTGTATTCAACAAAACATTCAAGTCACAGAATGGACCACTCCAAGAAAATGAAAGCAGAAGCATTTGATTCTCCTTATTTGTTAAACCTTTCTCTCTGGAACCAACTTCTTCTGAAACACACACACAAAAAGTTCAAACAGTATCACTTACTGATTGGAAGACTTGGACACGTAGCCATATTTTCCGGAGTATAAGACGACCCCCTAATTTCACAGTTAAAACATAGGTTTAGGCCTATATTCGCTGTATAAGACTACCCCCCACTTCCAAGGCAACACCAGTTCTTTTTCTAATAGACCGCCTCTCTGACTCTGGCCAATCTGAGCAGCCTTTTTACCAGAACACAGTGTCGTCTTATACGCCGGAAAATACAGTAATCTTGCTGAGGCCTAACACTAAGCAGTTTCACAAACACACAGCAAGTCTGCAGAATTATAAGGTACGAGTGAACCCAAACTGCACTGAACACTTTCATGGCCGGGAAAAAGGAAGTCAAAGGCTGTTTTTAGGGCAATGCAATAGTTACAGCGTCATTTCCTCAGGTGCAGCATGATTTTCTATGTGTAGTGGCACTTAAGTATTACACAGTAAATACTGAAAGAACCCAGAATTTTTGGATGTGCAAAAGCAATTATCACATTATTAATACAAAAGTTGCTAAGCTACAGGATTATAATACCACTATTTGGGTTGTTGAGACCACTTAAAATTTTCAATTCACTTCCAACACACGGCTTCCTGGCTGTGCCCGCCCCTCAGTCAGACCAGTCATTTTCGTCCAGCTCCGAGTCGTCGTCGGAGTCGCTGTACTCCACGGCAATGCGTCTGGACAGGATCGTGGCCACGTCATTCCCGACCGGCTCGCGCTTGGCTTCTTGCTCACGCTGCTCTTGTACTTTTTTTAGCTGAATTCCTAGAAGACACAACACATAGTTTAGAATTAAATCCTTTTGCTTGCTCCAAATTAAGGAAAAACAAACTGGTAAGTCTACTTGACTTTTTTTCTTCTATTGACACTAAGGATAAAAACAGTTTTGGAAATTTGAAGGGAGAAAAGCTTGGGAAATAGAAGTTTCATGACTTAAAAAAAGAATGTACATACTGTAATTATTTTTACAGCAAAGTAATGGGTGGACGGACACCTTTACAGAAAACCCATGAGCTGCACTGTCCGACACCCCGCCTGACTGTGCACCAGCAAACACTAGGCATTTCTATCATTACAGAACACTTCCCACACAGGCTTGGACAGCTCTTTGCTAACCTGTTGAGGTAACTGAGAAAACTTTGCTTAACAATTATTGTTAAAAATGGATATAAAATAAAACCATCTGCTCTCTTACCTAGTAACGAAATGGATCATGTGATGACTTAATGTGTGAATTCTTTAACTTTTCCTTTTGAATTTCAGATTTATAGAGTAACAGTACACTAGTATCAAAACGTTCCCATATGACATACATTCAGATTCCCCAATGGGTAACATCTGATCACACTTGTTTCAGCAATCTTTATCATTGTTATTAATACACAGATACTTTTTTTACTGGACAATTTAAAAATAAGTGGCATATAATTTACTATTTTGCCCTTTACCCCTAAACTACTTCATGTGTAATTCCTAAAAAACAATTATTAAATTCAGAATATAAGCATAGATACAATGCTACCATTCAGTCTATAAATTTTATTTAAATTTTGTCAATAGATCTAATTTAGCAAATGAAACAAGTTTCCATCAATTTTGGGATTCAATACCAATCATCTGTTAGTTGTGGTGTTTCCAATAATGATCCTTAATCTAGGCTAGGGGTGTCGAACTCAATCAGAGAAGGGGCCAAAATCTAAAATCCAGACTAAATCGCGGGCCGAATGGTTTACTGAACAGTCATAAACTGTCATTGTGATGGAAACGCAGCGGAGTGCAGTGATGACAGCGTGGTGCGGGCCTCATTGCAAGGCCTGGCGGGACGGATTTGGCCCGCGGGCCTTGTGTTTGACACATGTGATCTAGGCAGTTCTTCAGCCTTGGTGTTTTATGACCTGCAGTTTTGTAGAATGCTGTCAATATGGGCTCCTCAGAGGTTTTCTCACGGATAGATATTTGCAATTATCACTCTTCCTGGACAGGGCTCACACTGTCAAAATCAAAACACTGTCCTCTTGTGACCCCAAATTTGTTATCAACAAGGCATTAAATAGCTGTTTTTCTTAACAAAATCAAAATGCGTCAATGACATTCAAGACAGATGAGAACCCTGGGATCTGCAGGGGCCTGCCCCTGGTGCAGAGCCTGCACTGCGACCAGTGCCTGGGCAGCTCCTCAGCCTGTGAGCAGCTCAGAGTGTTTCCACTTCGGCGGTGACCCCCAAGCAGGCGGGGCTGCGAACACATGGTTCCAGCAGGGTTGACGCGGGGCTCGGCGGGAGGCCGGCGGGGGCGGCTCTGACCTGACGGAGGCGCTCTACCTTCACGGTGCATGTTCTGGGCTTTGGTGTAGGACTTCCATCTGACAAGAGTTTTGCTGCTATGTAAATGTTGCTAACTACTGGCTTAACATATCAAGCTAAAAATATGAAAAGTCTAAGGCATATTAAATATTTATAAAATATCACTAAAATGAGCTCATTTTCTTTCATTTATACTTTTACCATTAGAATAGAATGCAGACAAAATAGTCAATGTTTATTTCTAGTCAAGTAAACCTTTCCTGAATTCTTGGTTCTTTATCACATGTGCTTTCTTTGCACAGGCAAAACCACATTGCTATTTTTTAAAATGTCACATAAAGTTTCTTTAACCACATTCTAAAAACAATCTGGTGCGGCAAGCAGTCCCTTTAAGACCAGCTCTAGCTGGTTGGAGACAAAAGTCTCTCTCTGATTGGAAGATGGCCCACGTCGGGGATCCACTTACCCATTCGAATAGCAGCAAGAAGATCACTGCGAGCATCGCTTATGGGTGGTTGTGCAGTTTCTTGTCGTTTTGCCTCGGCTACGGGAGGGCCATGCATGGGGGAGGATGAGAGGGAAGAGCTTGCGCCAGGAGGGCCTGGTGGGGGTGGCGGGGGGCCCGGAGGCGGCGGGGCTGTGACCACCAGCCCAGTGGAGGGCGGGTGAGGGGATGCTGCTGGGAAGGAGGGCTGCGTGGGAATCTGGAGAGGACTGACGAAAGCAGTTTGTGCTGAAGGGATCATGGGAGGTGGAGGGGGCGGAGGTGGTCCCGAGGGGTTGTAATATTCCATGATCTGGGCTGGGATCATCCTGTTAGAGAGAAAACACAGAGTCATTTAAGCAGCAACAGAGGGTCACACCTGAGGCTCTGACATGCCTAATGGAAAGCCTCTCCCAAATACAATACATACTGTCATTTGGATTTAAGACACTGCAGGATGCAATATCCACTGCTGGGCCAGTTATTTCCACAGGTTTACATGATTCACTACGACAGAGTTTATGATCATTCACTGAAATGCATCCAAAAGATAACCACTCAAAGAGGAATTTCCTGTGAAATGCTAGGTAAGAAGAGCAACACAAATACATCCTTTACGCTGGGCATCTCAAACACATGTGGCTCACAAACTTGTCTTATAAGGGTTCTGTGGCCAGATTTGGAAAATTCTGTATTTTATATCTCATCTCCATGGAAATTCCCCAAGCCTACAATGCCCATCAGAATATAAAAAGCTTTGAAAAGTCCTACAGCCAAGAAAGCTGCTGAATTCTATTTAGTCTAAGGTTGTCCAAACCAGATGGACCCCAGATTCTCTTTTTACCTGACACCTGGAGCCTCAGAACTAACTTCGGGATTCCTGACTTAACAAGGACCAGGGAAACAGCCAGAGCTGAGTGGTCAGGGAGGATGCCCCGAAAGATGAGGGATGTATGTTTAGAAACCGGTACATGCTGCTCTGGACTGAAGAACATGTGGTTAATGGAAACACACGTTCGACTTTCCTAGGCACTGCCTCTGAGGGGTAACTCAGAGCGCCAAGGCAGCCTATGAAAACACAGGTGGGTGCCTAAATTACCAAACACCCCAAATGAGGGTCTTTCCCAGGGCCGTGTGAATGTCACTGATCAGCAGGAAACAAGGTGGGAGAATGATGAGCGGGCAGGAAGAGGTTATACAGCCAGGTGTAAGCACGGGGCTCTGCACTGCACAGTGCTCTCACTGGCGGTATGACTTCTCCCTGGTTCACCCAGGATATATACAGAAATTTCAGGATTTGGGACAGGTTCACAAAATCGGGAGTTCCATTCTTTATCAATGCCTCTGCTTAACGATCCATTCACACATACACAAATATGTGTTTTAAGGGAGTATACACATGAATACAGACACAAACCTGAGTTTTATCTGTAATAAGAAAAGGGAACAGCATAAGACTATATTTTTTAACCAATAGTTTCCACATTCAGTCATTCTGGGCTGTACTCTGGCCTCGAAAGTATGACTTTTAATTAAAATTCTTATACACACATAGCGAGATTCCATTGCATGGTGAGTAGCAATCAGAGTACAAAGAATTCCAAATTACCCATAGTCTGCTGGAGCCATGGGTGCCGAGGCCTGGGACCCCTCTGCAGCCTGTGGTGGGGGTGGCGGAGGTGGCTGCTGAGGCCTGTTCAGGGCCATGTGTCTCACCGACGCAGAGGGGGGTCGGTACTCATGCTCGGGGGCCTGGCTGGCTGGCCCAAGTGGCAGCGCGTCACCTGCTGCATATGAAGGGGTGACGGGCTGTGGGTGCAGAGAATGGTTGGGAGTGGCTGGATAAGAATAATCTGTGACATCCGATGCGTGAGACCTGGCATTCAAGAAAAGGGTGGGAGAAATTTAAGTTGAAAAGATTTCCACTAACCAGCACATAAGCATATATTTGAATAATGACATTGCCAATACACAGAAATCACACATTTATTTCCTTTACTGTAAACTAGGTCCAGCCTCATGAGAGCTTCCAAGCAACAACGTAATGACTACGTTAGCAGCGAGCCCGGTGTTACATGGAGTCAGACTCACAGCTTTAAAGTGAGCAAGTCAGACAGATGGGCATGCAGGACCAGCAGAGCCCCATTTCACACCATCTCAGCATTCGGTCTTAGGAGAAAAGGCCACGAGACAAGTCCCACTTAATTCAAAAATAGCACCGAAGACAGAGGACTTCAGTGGCCAGGAAGCTGATAGCATATCATTAGAAATTACAAAATGGCAGATAAACTGGATAAATATTAACAGTAAGAACAGAAAAAGCAAGAATGCAGTACAGTGAAAAATTGTTCTCTTAAACAGAAGAAATGTATTTAGCCAAAAATGAAAGAACATGGTGCAATATGGAAGGGCCTTCCTGCTTCCTCTGAATGCACAGTCATGGGCGAAACGCTGAAAAGGATGGAGACTGTATGTTAGCTGACGGAGCTCAGACAGACAGAAGCCTTCGTGAGGGGGCACGGGGACTTGTAAAGGTCACAGCTGCACAGAAGGGTGTTAGTAAGGCGGTCGCGCTCCTGGCCTGGTTACAGGACACGTGGTCAGTATGGGGCTGCATGTCCTCTCGTGATGGCCAAAGCGGGTGGGCAGCCTGAGGACGGCGATGCGGAGAGCAAAATGACAAACCCTCTGGGCGTTCTGTCCTCTTTCGTGCTCCCTGCCTGTTGCAGTGTCCTTGCATCACTCATAAACTCAATGCCCATTTTCCTCCTCTCCCACTCTTCTTTTCTTGTTCTGACTTTTCTCACATTTATCTGCTGGTTTCGGGTAGGATTCAGCTTGTGTTTCTCTCTCTGAAGGAAACAGGCAGACATACATGGGGATGTGGAGGAGCAGGGGAGACACCAACTGAACTTGGATCTCAGAATCAGACATTAGCTTCCCTTAACTAGAGCACCTCAGACATTAAAAAAAACAAAAAACCAAAAAAACTTTCTACATGATAAGAGACTGTTTTCCCCCTCCTAATTGCAATGTAATAATAACTAATAATTCACCTTTTCCCCCCTCTAATTGCAGTATCTATATATATAAAACCCTAATATGCAAATAGACTGGACGGTGGTACAACCGGTTGCTATGATGTACTCTGACCACCAGGGGACGAGTGCGAGTGTTGGCAGCAGGCAGCAGAGCATGGAACATGGTGGGCATTGGCTGCAACAAGTGAGCGGGGATGCCGGTTGCTGTCATCGGGGAGAGCCTGTGGTGATTCTTTGCTCCCGTGTGCCACAATCCCACCAGGCACTCACACCTGCTGCCAGCACCGGTCCCACTCGCACCCACTGCCAGTGCCAGTGGTTGGCTTCTCTACCTCCCCCTGCTCCTGAGGGACGATTGGGGCTGGCAGCCACCTCTCACACCGGCTGTTGAAGCCATGGCTTGCATCTGCTGCTGGCGCCAGTCCCAATCATCAGCAGGTGCAAGTAGGGCAGGCACCATTAACGCATGGGAGCTGCAGCGGCAGGAGCGGGGCTGCTGGCAGACAGGGGCCAGGGGCCATGGTGGGAGGAGCTGGGCAGGGGCCGGCCCTGTGCCCATTGCAGTCTCGCGGCACACAGTTCTTTTCAAGATGCACAAAATTGTGCACTGGGCCCCTAGTAAATTCTGTATTTAGGTGTGCATATGATTATATCTTTTGAACTATGCAAATTGCTGGCAAGTAAGTTAAAATGTTTTTAATGGGGGAACAACCTAGCATATTTTTATAATGTAAATACCTAAAACCCAGGAGTCCTTGGTGATATATGTTTAACTCTGTGTATGTGACTATGTCATATGCTATGTGTACAATTTCTAAAGAAAACAAAGTGATCTGGAAAAATATAGAGCGCTTCTCATGGGAGGAGGAGCCAGAAATTATGAATATTCTGGAATAATTTAGAGTGCTATCCTTATAAGTAGCTTTGTGACACAGCCAAAAGGAGTCAATAAAGAGGAGGAAAGCCAGACAGATGAGTGAATAAAGGAACAGGCAGTGAATGTCTGAATTTAAGAATTACAGCTGGAGAGTTGTGGAGGGCAGGACTGGGAGGAAGGGTGGGCAAGGCAGAGGACTGGTTTAAGAGTGAAGGCTCATTTAAAGGGGAGCCCAGTGGGCTGGAGGAGAGGTGAGAAGTGGGGTGACTGCTGGAGACAGAGACCTCCCATGCAGGAAGGAAGAAATCAGCTACAGAGACACACATCAATGTGGAGATGTGTGGACTGGTCCTGTGACTACCTGTTATAGGAGAGAGAACTGGTAGGAGTGAGATGATATGGAAACAGGAAGAAATGTAAGCAGGAGAGACTTGGTGGGAGAAGCCAGGGACTCCCAGGGTTTTGTGGGTGGAGAGGTGGGCAGAGTCAGAGCTGTAATACAGCGCCCAGAAGAGGATGAGAAACAGCACAAGGACAACTGGGCGTGGAGGTCTCACGTCTTCCAGATCACAGTGAAAGAGAGCTGTGGGGAAGAATTTAATCAATTTCCATCCTGAATTTATGCTTAAAATCAAACCACTGCTGATAATCTACAGAGAGAGCAAAAATTTATGATTAGTTTACATAAACCACTTTTTATGTACAAAATATATTACTTATATGAAGTTTTATTATATACAAGCCATAAAACTTAATATTCAAAATTTCCTCAGTTACTTAAAAGCCGTGATTCTAAATAATACTTAAAATAAGAATATAAAACATTAAAAAGTTAAAAGGCAGAAAGTATAGAGCATGATTCCAATTTTGTAAACAAAAAACATATATACCTTTACAGTAAAAAGATAAAAAGGAAAAAGTACACTAAAATGCAAACAGTGGTTTCTCTGGATAATAGGATTATGGATAATACTTGAATGTTTTCTGTAATTTCCAAATATAAAAAAATTATTTTATAATAAGAAAAAGTGGTACACTTTAGTAAAATAAAAAAAATTAAATTAATTTAAGGAATGTAATCCAAGTGCAATATTAATTATAATCTATTTATCTGGGACATGCATATAGTAAGAGGTCATGAAAAACAGTATGAGACAAAAGGAAATTCTAAAGAAATAAAACTGATTAATCAATTTGCTTTTTGAAAAATAAAAAAGTAAAGATATATCTAAAAACATAAAAATTCAGATACTAAATCATCTGAATGATTTTATTCCCAGCATGAAGCAATCTAATCTCAGATATTAGAATGAGCATCAACTATTCAACTGAGGGATTAAAAAAATCATTTTTTTTCTGTCTATACATATTGAAATAAGAGTGCAGAGTATTATAAAATAAAGTATATGTTTTGCATGAGTAAACAATACAACTAAATTAGCTGGGAAAAACGCACACAAAAAGCAAACTGACATATTGGGAGCTCTCAAATTTAAGTGCTTCTCCCACCCAAAGAACTATGTGTAGAATTGTCGACAGAAACAAACTGACATAATAGATGTACCAGTTAATAATGCGGATTTTTTTCAATAGATGGAATTATATATATGTTGAGATATATGCAATTTGATATGTATGCTATTCTGCTTTATTGACACAAGCTTCAAAACTTCATATGTCAAATTTGCTGAAGGTGTTAACATCATAGATATTTTTGCTTAAAAATGTCGAATTTTGTGCCAAAAAAAGAACATTTGTGGGAACTTTTAATTCATTACTTTATTTTGAAGAAAAAGTTATCGTATACTTGGGGAAGCTAATGGTGAACATGCTCCATCTTAAGATACTTGTGAACGCTGGTTTAAACACTTTAAAAGTGATGATTTCAATGTGAAAGACAAAGAATGTCCAGGTTAACCGAAAAAGTTTGAAGACCAACATTTACAAGCATTATTGGATGAAGATGCGTGTCAAACTCAAAAACAATTTGCAGACAGATTAAACACTGTTCAGCAAACAATTTCCAATTGTTTACAAGCAATGGAAAATTTTTTAAAGAAAGGATAATGGGTGCCATATCAACTAAGCAAAAGATAAATGGAAAAACCTAAAAGTCATCAGTAAAATGTTGCTTCAATGGCACGAAAGAAAGTCTTTCTTGCATCAAATTGTGACTGGCAATGAAAAGTGGATTTATTCTGAGAATCCCAAATGCACAAAATCATTGGTTGATCCAGATCAACCATCAATATCGACTGCAAGGCCAAATCACTTCAGAAAGAAGACAATGCTCTCTTCGTTTGGTGGGATCAGGAAGGTGTGATGTATTATGAGCTTCTAAAACCAGGTGAAACCATAAATACTGATCACTACTGACAATAAATAGTCTATTTGAACCATGCTTTGATCATGATTTCAGAAGACACAGCAAAGTAATCTTGCTTCATGATAAAGCACACACTTCAAAACCAGTTAAAGACATGTTAAAAGCTCTTGCCTGAGGAGTATTAACCCACTGGCTGTATTCACCAGACCTTGCTCCTTCAGAGTACCACTTGTGATCGGTGGCACATGCACTTCCTAAGCAGCACTACAAAGCATACGAAGAAGTGGAAAATTGGGTCTCTGAATGATTTGCCTCAAAACAAGAAAAGTTCTATTGGGACAGTATCCACAGATTACCTGAAAGATGGGGAAATGTGTAGCTAGCGATGGACATTACTTTGAATAAAGCACTTTTGATGTTTCTCTTAAAATTATCGTGTTTTCTTTGATTACAAATTCCGCAATTACATCTAGTAAAGATCTAACCTTGAGACTAGAGCTCAGTTAAAGCTCTAATAATTCTCTAATATTTAGCAGATAACAAGATAACAACTTATACAGAAAAATTACCTAGAACTTGCCTCATATCCAACCAATGACTTAGAACCCTTCTGGGGCAGGAACATTCACAGGCCCTGTAACTACCAAATGTTAAGCAGCTTCTGTCCACAGTCTGTGCTAAGCATTGAAATCATAAAGACAAAATTTATTTTAAAAGGACACAGATCTAAGGCCAGGACCAGGTTGTTGCTGTTTTTGAAACATCCTTCAATCACATAGGAATTCTCTGTTCGAATTTTTAAATGCTGATGGAAGACTTAGAGAGATCATGCAAATGCAAGACAACAACTTTACAAGAGCAGAAATAGGAAATTAAACCGTAATTTAAAATTGACTAGTCAGTCCCTGTTGTTCAATGAATCCCTTTTGTGACAAATGTGACTTATTGTTCACATCATTCACACCTGCAAGAAATATTTTTACTTAATTGCTAACACAGTTTTAAAGTAAACACCAACAGAATGCTTGTGAAATCAGAGCACATAAGATTAAGGAACTAAAGAAATAAATATCTTTTGTTCATCACTTTTTACAAAGGTTACCAAAAGAGCAAAGAAATTATTCCTTGACCACATCAATTACTACCTACCGATCGTTTTGATATCAAAGAGCAAAAGAAATTCAACTCTAAGCTGAAGAGTAAGACAAAGATTTAAATTATTACAATAAAAATGTAAGTCACTGGGGTGTGTGTGTGTGTGTGTGTGTGTGTGTGTGTAAGACCAAATTCAGAATCCATGTTAAAACACTGCATATCCAGATTAACTGAACAAGAAAGTAAATTGGAGATATGAAAAGTCATCCAATGTGACCCAACACATAATAAAACTACCTTAAAGTATTATTTCAATATTCATGTGTTGTTCACATATATTTTTTAAGAAAAGATGTGAAACATTCTGTAGCCTTATAAATACCAAAACTACTATTACCAGTCACATCCAAGGAATAAATAAAATGAAACACTACTCAGAGGCATTACTACACACACACACACACACACACACACACACACACACACATACACACACACACCTAGTATCTGGGGACAGGGATCCCTCGGAAGATGCTCCGTGGTACACACTCTGAGACAACCTGTTGTCGGGTCTGAGCTCTTTGTCATACGCCATCATATTCCACTCCTGGCGCCTGTTTCTGGCTTTTCTAACCTTTTTCACCTCACGGGTTGTGCCATCTATACGTTTTTGCTCCTGAAGTCCAAGAAAAGAAAAGCAAGCATGCCGAGACAGGAGAGAAAGGACAACAGGTTAAATGCAGTTATAATGCTCAGGACACAAGCATGATGTGCAGATAATGTCAGAAAATTCTAGCACAGTGTCTACTCCTATCCAACACAGACCCCCCAAAAGTAATAAATACTTGACTATTTAACCCAATAAATGAAAATTATTCTGCTGCAACACCAGAATTATTGTACTATCATTTTTTAGTAATTGCTTCAGCAAATTTTCATCTTATTAGGCGTTTAGGTGATTTTAAATATAACTTTTAGATCTATAGTTTACAGATAAAATGTCTGATGGCACCATACAGATAAATCATTTCCCACCCCTACATAATTTTGACTGGCTTGTTAACTTACAATTAAAAAAAAAATAATTCAAAATGTTCTTTTTCCAGTTTCTACAAGAAATATTTAAGCTAATCCTGCAATGAGCTAAACCCAAAACAAAAATAAGGCATGAACTTACCTTCCCATACAAAGACTCATTCTTGCCCCAGCCCTACTTTGCCGGCAAAAATGTATCCAATAAATACGTAGGTACTTCTTTAAAGGCGAGAACAATTATTTCTGTTGTTTATAAATTTTTTCCTGGTTCCCTCATAAAATTTTATGATCTCTAAGGACAAGAACTATGTGCTCTAAGTTCTATACTCCTTTTACAATCCTTCCACAAGTGATTTACCTAAAGTGCACACACAATCAATGCTGACTAAATGGCCAAATCCAGGTGAGCTTAGAGAACTTGCTATGGCATCGATGATACAAAAGGAAAACAACAATAACAACAAAAAGATGTGTGTCTGCCCTCGTGGAGCCTGTAGTCCAGTTGGGGAAGCCTACAAAATCATAGAAATAAATGTCTAATTATAATATAATAAAATGCAGTAAAGCATATATGCATCACGTGTAGAATGCTGTCTCAGCTGGAAGTCAGGGATAGCGTCCAGGAGTGAGAGGGAAGACCTACCTGTGAGTGGCTTGGACTGCAGGGAGCCCATCAGAGCAGCTAAGAGAGGACTGAGTGGGCATGGGCTCCAGGAGGAGGAAGAACACACTTAGGAGAAATGAAAGAAGGTGAGGGGCAAATGAAGGTTAATGGCCCCAAAGAGCTGAAAGGTAGGCAAGACCTTAAAGGCTACGTTTAAAATGTTTTTTTGTGTGTTTTTTTTAATCTCAGAAACAGCGGGAAAGCACTGAAGAATAAGAAGGGAAGGGCTGACAGATTGAAGGAGAAGAGGCATTTAAAAAGATCCTTCTAGGATGGGGAGCACAGACTGAAGGAGTAAGGTAGAAACACCAGTCAGAAAGCTATTCAGGTTGTCTAGTGAGGATGGAAGGCAGCTCATGATGGTAGTGAAGACACACGATTAGACTGTTTTTGGGTAAGGAGGTAAAATGTATTGGCAAAGAAGGTAAAGGTGAAATTCACAGAACATAAATAAAGGGTTAATAAAGATGAATAGATGTGTAATGCAAATTAGATTTTTTTGGAGGGAAGGAGGGCTCATAAAAAAAAACAACAATATCCAGGACTGGAGGAGGCCTGTAAACTGGTTCAGTGTTTTAAGGGTCAGGAGCAATAAGATGGTATCTCTCAAAATTTAAAACTCACATTCAACTTCCATGAATTTGCTCTGAAGAAATATCTGCATGTGAGTACAGGGATATCTACTACAGTACTGTAATAGTAACAATTTGGAAACAACCTAAATATTCATTATTCTAGTAATGGGCAAATAGTTTATGATAACTATTAAAATGCTACATAACTTCATAAAAAGAACAAAGTACATCTTTACTTATGGCAATATATGTGTATGCCTGTATGTATAAGTTGCATATAGTACATTCTATGCATATAAAAATATTTTGTGAAATGTATATGCATATATTTGTGAACTGAAAAAAATCTAAATCTAAAAATATGTGTGCCAAGCTGCTAAATGTTAACATAGTTATGCCCATGGAAGAAAAACATATCCCCAAATTTTCTAAACTAATGCATAATAGTTTAGTATAATTTGAGCATTTCACAACTTGCATGTATTGTTTGTATACTTACACACACACACTCACACCACCACCACCACCACTGCTACCACCACCACCACCACCAACAAAAAGGAGGGAGATTTCAATGGATTCCAATACACATCCTAATTAAGAACCACTGTATTAAATTAATTAGACTATTCCCCTTACTTTTAAGAGATGAATGCTAACGTATTTAGGGACTGTTATAATAACTCTCTTTGCAATAATTTAGCCTCTAAATTTACCCATCAATCTGCACACACCACACACACGTATGACATGATGTTAACAGTGATGCATCTATGCCTACATTCAAATGTCTAGAAAATGCCAAACTATTCCCTATACCAGAATGATCTTAGCTGCTTAGAAGCAGTTCACCTCCTCTGCCCTCCACTCCTCCAGCACCCTCTCACGTACATGTGCTCGCACATGCGCCCACAAACACACCTGCACCCACACTGACTTGAGCTCACTTCCACCCACGGTTGGACCTGTGAGATACCCCGAGGCTGTCCTAGACACTCACTTCCTCGTCTCTGTCATCCCCACCTTGTCTTCTCATCCCCAGCACAGCATACTTCTCCTTCACAGCACTTACCAGCATTGTAACTGCATACTTTCAACTACGTGTTAATTTGCATAATTTAAAAAATGTTTTTAATGGATTTCTCACATCCAAATTTTCTAAACAAATTTTTCCTTCATATAGACTTGTCAATACCAAATTGAAAGTGACTTGCTTTCCAGAAACCCCAGAGGATTTCCAGAATGAAGGACATCTTGCCTTATTTTCTGCTCCTATATAAAGGAGATTTGTATTAGAATTTCTCATTTCTTTCCCTCTTTACGAGTTCCAGAGGGCTGCAAAATTATTTAATGCTTGTTTCCCCCACTCTATTGCAATCTCCATGAGGGTGGTAATCCTATAATTTTCACCACTGTTTATACAGCATTAAAAGACTTTTTTTTTTCTTCTTTTTTTTTTTTTTTTTAAGAGAACCTTAGAAGCATGGAACACTGTCGAATCTCAGAGGGAAAGCAGGGTGAGGGTGGGGAGGGAAGAGATCAACCAAAGAACTTGTATGCATAATCAAGGATGCAGACAATATAGGATGGTGAAGGCCTAGGGTGGGGAGCAGGACTATAAGGGGTCAATGAGGGAAAAAGGAGACATATGTAATACTTTCAACAATAAAGATTTAAAAAAATCATTATATAAATGAATGAATAAAAAATCCTTATCAGAATTTTATGTGTTTGAACAATGTGGAATGAGATAAAACTGCCAAGGAAATAACTAAATTTGATGACACAATAATCATACATAGATTATGACTGTTTTCCCCTGAAGATCACTAGTGAAAAATTAAATATTTTTTGCCAAAAGTATCACTGAGAAGGGAAACCTAGAAGGTAATTTAAAAGGACTTTTGCCTGGTTACTGCCAAGAAGTGTGGGGATGAAGAAGAACATGACTAAGTAAGTATCTGTTTCCTTTCTGTCCCAGAGAATGGGGTCTTCCTTTTCTCCACCTGAATACTTCGTAGTTTCTTAGCTTGAATAATCCTTCATTTGAGAACTCAGCAACTCTTCCAAGATTTCCCAATTAATCCCAACCCATGAGCACAAGAAAAGAGGAAACCAAGCCTTTGGAATTCTCTCCTAGAATTCAATGGTAACATCTTACACTTACATCTTACACTTACATCTTACACTTGCAAATTGTTATCATGTACTCTGTTGTAAATCCTAGTTTCAAATTTCAAATTATCTTCTATCTCAAATTATCTCCTTTATTGAGCTAAGACAATGCCTCAAAATCTTAAGACCTCGAACCCACAAAAAGGTAAGCATTTCTCTTAACTAAAGCACTCCAATATTTGTCAAGGAAACCAGATGGTCATTTTTTTTTTTAAAAAAACATAGCTTACATATAAGTCTTAGCAAATATAAGCCTTTGGAGAATTAACTCTTCTCAGTGGCTTAAGCCTAATTTCTGGCCAAAGGAACAATTTTCAAAATGTAAGTCCCCACACCTGCAGAGAGTGAGCTTGTCCTCCAAGAGTGCTCACAACCTCAGAAGTGCTTCTAAACCTTCAGACTTGCAGTGACCTCGCCTCCCTCCACCCCCCACGGGAGCCTCACGTCCAGTAGATACCATCGTCTGAATTTGCAGATCACACGCTTTTCAATCCAATATGAACAGCTCACTAAAGCTTTAATTACAGCTAGGTGGCAATCCAGTTATGAAGAAAGCTTTAAAATGATGGAAGCAAATAATTATTTCTGATATGGAATACTGCTTTATGAAACTTGAAAGAACAGGAGAAAAATTCTAAAACATGGTTACAAACAAAACTGAAATTTTAGCCACTACTTTCGTGAAAGCACAGCAAGTGTTAGAGAACAAATCAAGAGTATTTACCAAAAAATAATATTACTGTGTTAGACTGACTTGTCTGTATCTTCCTGTATAAACTACAATCTCTAAAAATCCTTCCTCACTAAATCCAACATTTCAACCATTCAAGTAAAGAATTTACTTATTGCTTTCCAAACAAGAATCCATTTACACATATATACACAGTTCTCCTAAAGGAATTATTTACCTTTTGACGCCTTTTCTCTTTCCTTTTGTCTTCTGTGTCCTGTAGCATTTTTTCTTTCCAGAGGTCAAAGAAATAGGAAGGATCTGTATAGAACTTCAGCCCATCCTTTTTATCATCTCTAAAAATCAAGATATTACAAGTCAGGGGGGAAAAAAGACTGTTAGATATCTTCATATGGGAATAACATAATTCTTTTTTTTTAAGAGAGAGAAACATCGATGTGAAAGAGACAGATTGATTGGTTTCCTCCTGCACATGCTCCAACCAGGGCTGGGAATGGAGCCTGCAACCTAAGTATGTGCCCTTACCTGGAATTGAACCTGGGACCCTTCAGTCTGTGGGCTGACACTCTTTTCAATGAGCCAAACCTAATTCACTTTTACTCATGAGATTATATTATAACATCTTCAGGGGGGCATTTTAACTGTCCTATACAGTATTAAGTTTCTCAGATTTTCTTACTTGAAAAAAAGGTGTATTCAAGAACATCACTTTCACTAGAATAATCAGGTAAAAAAGTACTCTTGCAAAATTAGATTTAAATATAGAAAAGTACTCCTAAAAATCACAATATGGCTCAGAAACAGTAATATTCAATACCTCAATTACTTTAGGAAATGATCTGTTTATTCCAATAGGGGGCTATCTATACAGAAACAGATGGATTCTTTACACACATTTACTTTTACTCTGGAGTGTCGATGTTATGAGGATAAAGATTAGTTAAGTATTTTGTCCCCTTTACTCAATGAGTTTTGCCCAATGTCTAAAAATTCATTTAGAAAAAAAGAAAAATATTCAGTGTGTAAATGTGACTAAGAAAAACAGTAAAGAAATATTTTTAAAATGGAAGTAACCAACAAAGAAAATTCACTTGTAGTCATTTCATTTTCAGGCACTGCTATAATTACTATGGTCTAGAGAATATTTCAAGTCTTTGTATAACTTATTCATTAAAATAATGCAGCCAACATGATTTCAAAGTATAATATAAATCAATAGTATATCTAAAACTAATCATGATATGAAGTAAATACTCTATCAATGCTTTAAAAGGATATGGCCTATAGAGGAAGAAAAATACATTTCAAATCGGTATTTCATTAAGTCATTTAAGGCACAGAGAGGAAGCAAAAATTAATGAAATTAAATATAGGAAAGTTTATAGCCAAATAATCAAAGAAAGCCATCTGTCCTTGTATCTCCTGCTCTGCCATGTTCTGTAAACTCTTCATCAAATGATAAAGGCCCAGTTCCTCCGAGGGCTATTCTGGCCACTCTCTGAAATCCACTAACAAACCAGTGCATTGTACTCTATGCTTTAACCTCAGATTACTTAAAATCCTTTCTTTGCCAAATTTCTAACTGATAAGCAACGTGCAGTAAGAAATTTCATTAATAACATTATTGTGAAAAACATAATTTGTTTCCCTAAATACTAGACCTTCAATATAGATAAAAATATAGAAATTTTTTTGAACTTGCTGCAAAATTTAAGATGTACAATAAATTCACATTTTAAAAGAATGAAGCTAATACTTAAAAGAGGTCAGAAACTCACATAACTAAACAAATATTAACCCTGACATAAAAACATAAGAAGAAATATCCTATGTTCAAAGAACTGAACACTTGGTTTTTTAGTCATATTGTACTTCTCATATATTAACTATGTTAGGACAGTGTCATACTTAAGCTCAAATGCAAAAGTTTGTGCTTTACATACCCCAAATATTACTGTATTGAGCAAAAAAGAAAAGAGAAAGAGAATTCATGGACATGGACTATAGTGTGGTGATTACAGGGAGGGGGAGGAGGAGAAGTGGAAATAGGAAGGATCAGTATAGAACTTCAGCCTATCCTTTTTATCATCTCTACTAGAGGCCAAGTGCATGAAATTCATGCATGAGGTAGGGAGGTGTCCCTCAGCCCAGCCTGTACCCTGTCCAATCTGAGACCCCTTGAGGGATGTCCCTCTCACAATCCAAGACTGCTGGCTACCAACTGCTCACCTGCCTGCCTGATTGCCCCTAACTCCTTCTGCCTGCCAGCCTGATCATCCCCTAAGCACTCCCTTGATAGCCTGATCAGTACCTAACTGCTCCCCTGCTGGCCCAATTACCACTAGCTGCCCTCCCCTGTCTGGCCACTCCTAACTGCCCTCCCCTGCTGGCCTAGTTCCCCACAACTTTTCTCCCCTGCAGGCCTGGTCCCCACAACTGTCCTCCCCTGCTGGCCTGATCTTTCACAACTGCTTTCCCTTGCAGACTTGGTCTCTCCCAACTGCCTTCCCCTGCAGACCAACCTTGTGGTGGCCATCTTATGTTCACATGGGGGCAGTCATCTTTGACCACATGGGGGCAGCCATCTTGTTTGTTGGAGTGATGGTCAATTTGCATATTACTCTTTTATTAGATAGGATAAATCAAGATATTATAAGTCGAGGGGGGGGAAAGACTGTTACATATCTTCATATGGGAATAACATAATTAAATTTAAAATATTTAAAAAAGTACATTTGAATTGGCGTTGCTATTCTTAAATACACTATAAAAAAAAGTAAAGGAGATTTTTATTTTCATAAAACTGAATATACACATACAATCCTATATAGTAAAGAATATGCAAATTGGCCATCACTCCAACACACAAGATGGCCACCCCCATGTGGTCAAAGATGGCCACCCCCATGTGGACACAAGATGGCCAGCAGGGGAGGGTTGGGAGGGACCAGGCCTGCAGGAGAGGGCAATTGGGGGTGACCAGGCTGGCAAGGGAGGGAAGTTAGGGGTGACCAGGCCTTCAGGGGAGGGCAGTTAGGGGCAATTGGAACAGCAGGGGAGCAATTATAATAGGTATCAATCAGACTGGCAGGAGAGTAGTTAGAGGGTAATCAGGCTGGCAGGCAGAAGCAGTTAGGGGCAATCAGGCAGGTGAAAGTTTGGGAGCCAGCAGTCCTGGATTGTGAGAAGGATGTCCGACTGCCCATTTAGGCCCACCGGGATCGGGCCTAAACGGGCAGTTGGACATCCCTCAAGGGGTTCCAGATTAGAGAGGGTGCAGGCTGGGCTGAGGGACACCCCCCCTCCGTGCATGAATTTTGTGCACAGGGCCTCTAGGGTGTGTTTTTTTTTTTTTTTTTTTTTTTTTTTTTCTTGTGTGTGTGTGTGTGTGTGTGTGTGTGTGTGTGTGTATGTCAATTTGTTTTTTATGCAATTAAAATTTTAAGATCATCACAAATATTTCATCTTGTTCCTAATTATTCACATATAACTGTTTAGTTGAGCACAAGCAAAATTACTAGTTAAAACTTCAGGCTTACAATACCCTATTTACATAAATCATTGATTTTAAATACATGTGCTAAAGCTTCCAGAAAAATATCCTTGTTCCTTACAAAAATGTGGCATCAAATGTGAAAACATCAGTGTTTCCATGGGCTCTCACATTTTTTTGAGAGACAGAACCTTTCTCCCCTTCCTGAAAGAAAGGGATGTAGCAGGAACTGCTGCTTTGCCAACAGAGCTATAGGTCCAAACTGGGACTCTTGGACCATGAGAAGGTGCAGGAATTCAGACCAAGAAAAACTCTGGGAACCCCTGAGAAGGACCAATGGCCTACGAAGGCAGTAAAAAGAAGCTAAAAACTCACTGAAATCTGAAAGGCGTGGGTAGGACTATCACCCACAGGCTAATCCTGGGGGCAGTGAGGACTACCCCCCACCACTCTCCTTCATTCCTCCAGCCTCTGAAGGTAAAAAGATGGGAGAGGAACTCGATGTGCAGTGAGAAAGCATATGAAAAAGAAAAGGGAGACAGAAAAGAAAGTGACAGGAAATATGGAAAGAAAGCACATGTTATGGGAGGTAGTATAGGTGTTGTAGAAAGCATAGTTTCTTATTGTTAATTTTTTGCACTATTTGTTTTTCATTCTTTTTCTTGGAAGTCTGGTCCTGATAATGTGTCCTACATTTTAAAATAACAGAAAGTTAATTTGTTAACTATATTTTCACTCCTGAAAACCCCAAATGCTGCAGAATACATTTTCCTAAATTAAATAACAAATATCTCTGCAGGGCTGAAATGCTGAGACAGTTATTTTGCTGCATTCTGACTGATTATGAGGTCCCTTTAAGAGTGACTTTGAATATGAGAAACAAAATAAATATACACAGTACTGTTATGTAATGTGCTCACTTCCACTTATGATGTCTACATTTAAAAGCTAATATTAGAATTCACATTTTTCTTGATAAGTTTATATTTTGAAATATTAACACTTTTAACAATGACTAATTTCACTGTAATACTGCAGTTATCTTCAAAGTTTGAAAGATACTTTCACAGTACTGTCACTGTCTTTCAACTTATCAATACTGACAAGGCCTGGGAACCCCTGAGGCCATACCTGTATGGTGTCAGGATGTTCAGAGGAGGTGGTTTATCACTCTGGTTGTAGATGTCAGCTACAGGGTTAGGAATGCTGTTCTTTGAAACCACCTGCTGGTCTTGGACTGTGGAACTTTTGAAAGCTTTTTTCATGTTGATATCCTGCAGTGACACTATTTAGAGAAAAGTCCCCAAGTTGAGTAATATGAAGATAGTTTAACTGTTTACAAGTAAATACAATTTTAGTCACAATCATAAACATCTCCTAGAATAATCAAATAATGTTGTTTTCATTTAAAGACATGCTAAGATAGCATGAGCTCCTTCCCTCTCATCAATCACAGTGACCTCTGTGAAGGCATGTCTTTCTTCTTTTGTAGTGACCTAACTACTCCACTGAACCTAATATTATAGCATTGTTATCACTTAAATAGTATTCATTTAAATAGTAATTCACTTAAATAGAAATCACACATGAGTATATTTCTATTTAAGTGAATAGAAATATACTCATAACAATATAGTTATGAGTATAAAAGTCATGTAAATACATAGATATGGGCATCCTTGTGGAGGCATTAGAACAGTTAATACCATTTAATTATAATACATGTAGGAAAGATTTCTGCAGAAAATGTAAAAAAAAAAAAAAGGCATTACTTTTTTCTGACACTATCATTAAAGAGAGACAGCAAAGCTTTTCAACCCACAGTCCTAGAAATTATATACATGATACAAAACTATACTAAGGAGTAAGAGAATCAAGGCTGATTATGCTTACTTACTTCTTATGTTTTTACAACTTTACATCTCATGTACTAATTCATCTGACTTTGAGACAAGCTTTCTGAGGTGGGCAAACTGGCCCATTAACCCACTTGACCAATGGAGCTCAAACTCGGATATACTGTAAAATCTCATAAAATTTAACCCACAAGTTAATCTTTTCCAGTGTAAGGTTTCTCACAAGACTTTCCATTGTAAGAAAAAACAAACAAACAAACAAACAACAACAAAAACACAAAAACCTGAAGAAAGGTAAATATTTTTAAATCACTTTAATAGCAATCTAAAGGGTGAATGATTGGCCTAAGATGTTAACAATTCCTTCTCTAAATAAACCAAATAGGTATTAAAGTTTTAGTTTTTTACAATAAAAGATTAATTTTAAAAATAAGATTAAAAAGTTCCACTATTTTTGTTGGAAAAGGCAGTTAAATTTAAGACATTAAAATTTAAATGTTCTACATTTTTGTTAAATTTCTAATTCACTAATTTAATTCTGACCTTTAAAAAAGACATTTTTAAATGAGAGAAGACTTCCACAAATAACCACGTTAAAAAAAACCTTCATTTTTCACTACTGCTACTACTACAAGTCTAGTAGAAAAATCAGATGCTAGGATCATTTTAACGCAATAAGAGAAACTATACCATTACACAAAGGTAAAAATAATTTTTAAATTGAATATTTTTCTCAAAGTAAACATGAAAGGGCATTTTTTTATACCTTTTTTACAGATTCCCTCCACCCCCAGTTTAATCTCAATCCTTCACGCAAAAGATAATGAAAGTGAAATTTTAAAAAAGGAATTAAGTTTTTTGTTGAAATGGCCACAATTTCATGGTGCATCATTAAAATGATTACAGTTAACTAACTACACAGTGCTTGCCAATATGAACATTATTTTAAGACCCCAAAGTCTGAAGGCTTTTAGTAAATGCTGTTTCTAAGAAGTTAAACCATTAAGATTATTTAAAAGCATCAACCCTAACAAGAACATGAGGTGGAAGCCTTCACTCTGAACACTCAGTATATACTACACGCCCTCTTATCAATATCTTTGGATGGATTCTGTAATTTTTAGGTAAGAAATTATCTTTAAAATAACTACTAATAGCCTAAATTAGGACTTTTAATACTGAATGCAGAAAAAAAATCCTTTAAAACAAATACTAAATGGGTAAATTAAAAAAAAAAAAGAGTATGGCATATGAGATACGACATGATATGAATCTCTTTTTTTAAATAAAATTTTATTGATTTCAGAGAGGAAAAAAAAGGAGACAGAAATATCAATGATGAGAATCATTGATCAGTTGCCTCCTGCATGTCACACATTGGGGAACGAGCCCACAACCCAGGCATGTGCCCTGAACGAGAATCAAAGAGTGACCTTCTGGTTCATAGGTTGATGCTCAGCCACTGAGTGACACCGCCAGGCTGATGTGAACCTTTTAATTGCAAATTAACCCAAAGTTGTGGGTTGTCCCCCCTCACTATTCTTCTAGCAAGAGACAAGATGAAATATCAGCGTAGTAGCCCAAGGAAAAAGCAGTAATTGCCCTGCAATTAATTACTATTGTCTTGTCAAGATCACTGCTAGCTCATTGCTTTTGTGCAATTACATACCCTCTTCCACTGTAGAATCCAGCTGGGTAACTTTGACAGCAAGGCGATCAATTCTGTCTTGAAGAGAATTTGCTCTGATGTAAAAGTTGTTAGCTTCATTAAACAACTCACCAAATATGTCTTCAGCATGTTTGCCTGTAGGAGAAAATGAATGGAGAGAGCCATCTGTTGAGGCGGCCTTCACACATTCTCACACTGCCGATTACTGTTAACACAGGGATTTTGTGCAAATGATTATAAAAATAGAGAGTCACAGCCAAGGCCTTTAGAAGTTTTGAACATTTATTAGGGCTGTACATATATCTGAAATTGACCCACAGTTGTAAGAATTTTAAAATACTGCAGATAGTACAGAATTTTTATTTAATTGCTACATGAGCTATCATGCAAGTTTGTTTCCCATTAAACTTGTAAAAAAAATTACTCCAATTTTGCATGCTTTTTGTATAAATAGAATCTCAGTACCTAAATTTTCCTTTTATTTCCACAGATAATTCAATAAATCATGTTGGTTTCTAAATTTAGGATTTTATCTTATTCACAATTAGAAAGTTAGGTATCTTACATTGCGCCTGACACTTTCAAATTGCATTAAATTGTTCTAGTTCATATTTTAAAATCTAAATACTAGTATATAGTGCTGACTCTGGAACTTTCAAAAAATCAGTATTTTGTATTCTGAGTTAAATTGTTCTGTAAGTATCACTTCTTTATTCTTGTGAGTGCTAGACACAACTACTTTCCTTAAAGTGTAATTAATACATTTCTGAAAATCTGACAGGCAAGAAAAAAAATCTGCCTATGTTAAATTTCCAGATTCTAACACCATTTGTTTACTCATTCAACAAACATCTAGTCTGAGTGTGCCTCATTCAACACACATCTAGTCTGAATGTGCCAGGCACATCTGCATCGTATCTCCTCCAGCAGAGATGCTACTTAAGATAAACTTTCTTTTTAAGAACAGTTTTAAGTTCATAGCAAATATGCACAGTTCCCCCCAACATCCAGGACCAGAATGGAACATCCTATATAATAAAGAGGTAATATACAAGTTGACCATCACTCCAAAACCCAAGATGACCACTCCCATGTGGTAAAAAATGGCCGCCCCCATGTGGACACAAAATGACAACCACAAGATGACGGGCAGGGGAGAGCAGTTAGGGGCAACCAGGCCTGTAGAGGAGGGCAGTTGGGAGGGACCAGGCCAGCAGGGGAGGGCAGTTAAGGGCAGCCCTTAAGTGTCGATCAGGCTGGCAGGCAGAAGCAGTTAGGGGCAATTAGGAAGGCAGGCAGGCAAGCAGTTGGGAGCCAGCAGTCCTGGATTGTGAGGGATGTCCGACTACCCTTGAGGGGTCCCAGATTGGAGAGGGTACAGGCTGCGCTGAGGGACACACATCCCCTCCCCTTACACGAATTTCATTCACCGGGCCTCTAGTTTGTTATAATTGATGAACCCACATTGAATCACATGGTTTGCTCCCTCACCTCATCTAGGTCTACCCAAACATCCAAGTGAGACTTCCTCTAACAACCGTAGCTAATTGGCAACACCTCACCACACACACACACACACACACACACACACACACACACACACACACACACACCATCCCTTCCCTGCTCTAATTTTCTCCTTAGCACTTACTTATTCATCTTGTTTCCCGCCTATCTCCTTCCACGAGGCTGTAGGACCCAAGGAAATAAGAGCTCTCCTCTGTTCTGTGCATTGCTGTACCAATCAATCACCAAGGTGTAGTATATGCCTGGCTTAGAGAAGGTGCCCCCAAACATTTTGGAATAAATGAATAAATAATATATTAAAATCAATTCTTCAGGATGAGGATTAGGGCGTGCAAGATCAGATGCCCCTCTCTGTTTCTCACAATACCATAAGCATGTCTCAATCGCAGGACTAATCACAGAACTCTAATCTTATCTATTTATGGAAGTTCTTTGAAAATATGAGCTATGCCTCTTATTTCTGCATTGTGCTAAGCCAGTGCCCATATTTCTTGAATAAAAGGCACAGGCTCTACACCAGTTGTTAATAAGTATACAACCAACAAATGCTCCCTGCACAAGTTTGGGAAATGCTGGGCTACAAAGATTTAACATGTTTCTATGTCTTGGGGCATCTCAGAAGCCTTACTATGCTAATGTTGTGTTAAGAATCTGCAAGAGAAGCAGCTAGCATATAATGTTTTCAAGCTGACTGGGCCTGGAAACACCTAATAACATCTTCCAGAACCACCATCTTATGAAGCCCATTGGGGAAATGCCTGCCCATTAAGCTGGATGACCTGGAGACAAACACCATTTTTCAAATGCTTTATATCCAAGTCTGTCCATAGTTTGTTTTGAATGTCAGACATAGTTAAAATGTACCCAACTAATTTTTGTTTTTCTAGTTGATCATTCATAGCTTTAAAAAATTATTACAGCCCAAGCTTATTTGGCTCAGTGGATAGAGCGTGAAGGTTCCGGGTTTGATTCTGGTCAAGGGCACATGCCCGGGTTGTGGGCTCAATCCCCAGTTGGGGGCATGTAAGAGGCAGCCAGTCAATGATTCTCTCTCATCATTGATGTTTCTATCTATTTCTCTCCCTCTCCTTTCCTCTCTGAAATCAATAAAGAGATATTAAAAAAATTATTACAGTGCAACTCTAAAAAAAAAAAAAAATCACATTCCTTTCCCTTTAGCTATGCAGAAATCTAATTAACAGGGACAGTATATGTACCAGGAATGTGGGAGTATACAACAGGCTCTTGCAAAAGTTATACTAGTATCTTCAAAACACAACAAGTATGGTTAAGAACCACACCCTGGGAGACACTATAAGTTGAAAAGGTTACATAACAAGTCCCTTCTATCTTCAGTGCTTAATCCTATTTGAAAAAAAATTACAGATATATGTATATACATGCAATTGATATTATAATCCCATTGGAAGTTCTTGATTTATAAAAGAAAACGCGCGCACACACACACACACACACACAATTAAAGACTTTTAATATTTAATCTTTTGCCAGCTGCTGAAAGCTGACAAGTGACTAAAAAGAAGAATACTGAAGGAACTATAATTACTGCTGAACAAGAATAAAGTGTTGCAATTACAGTGTTCAGTTTTACAAAGAACTTATTTGAAAAGCTTGATTTTAATCACTCTTTCAGTGGTACATCCATTAATAGCTATACTAAAATAATGGAAGACCACACTGAGATAAGTGGAATTCATTCATTTTTTGCTTACCAAGTATCTTCTTATAGATTTGTCAGGCCCATTATGAACTTGTGTCCAAGTATGTCAGGTTGAGAAGTATAAAAATTTTGCATGGATTTTAAATTGCATTTAAAAGTGAAGGTTCATTAAAAATAACCAGTATGTTTGTTGTGAGTCCTTTCTGTGGAACAAGAAACCATTCGTGACAAAGTCCTTCAGACATTTTAATACACATATCTAGCATATTGGGTTGTCAAGATTTTGGCTTATTCTCTATTAAAAGGAAGTAAGATTCTTGGAAAAATGACTGGATATAAGGCTGAGGGGGAAAAGTACAAGATAAACGTAGACTATCTTGCTATACTTTTCTTTCTTTCTTTTTTAAATATATTTTATTGATTTTTTTACAGAGAGGAGGATAGAGGGATAGAGAGCTAGAAACGTCGATGAGAGAGAAACATCGACCAGCTGCCTCTTGCACACCCCCTACTGGGGATGTGCCCGCAACCAACGTACATGCCCCTTACCGGAATCGAACCTGGGACTTTTCAGTCGGCAGACCGATGCTCTAACCCTGAGCCAAACCAGTTTCAGCTGTACTTTTCTTTAAAAAGTAAAGAAGTACTCAGAGATTGGTGGGGACATGGCAGGACACAGAAGCCAGCCTACAAGGGCTCTGACTGGCCAAATGTGGGAAAATGTGAGCATCAAAATAAATAATAAAGATGATGGATTAAAACCCAGACAATAAATAAGAATCTATGAATTCATATTGATACAAATAAACGAATGAATGAATAGGGGAAGAAGTACAAACACAACAGTATTCCAACTAATAAATGTAAGATAAATTATGGAATGATCAAAATCACCATTCGCTACTACAGTAAGAGTTTTGAGCAAAAATCATCAATGGATACTGAGACTAGTAGGGAGAAGTGGGATGGAAACAGGATATTACAGTCATAGTGTGTCTCCCCGTATATGGAGACACTCAATTATATATGGACAGGGATAGGGGAACCTTTACATTAGAAAACCCTATGAATAAAATGTTAACCAAAGATAAAAGTTAATGTGGGCACTCAAGGGACAAACAGATAATCTGTGCTTCCTCGTAAAATGCACTGAGGGTGATATCTCATCACTCTGCCATACATACTCATGACAATATCCTATATCTAATCATGAGGAAGCATCAGAAGATACAAACCAAGGGACAATCCACAAAAATAAAGGCCAGTTTCCTTTAAAAATGTTAAGTCACAAAGTTAAAGAAAGACTAAGAGCTGTTCCAGATTAAAGGAGATCTATTAACATCTACCTATATGTCTGTATACATATATACACATATGTTGAGATGAAGGAGAAAGAAAAGCAGGAAAAAAAGGTAAGTCTCTGAGGAAAAAGATGGGGTAAAATCTACACTAATAAAAGAGAAAGATGTAAAATGACCATACTTTTGCAACACCCACCAGCCAATCAGGAGTATGCAAATTAACCCAACAAAGATGGCGGGTTAACTTGCATATGCAGGCACCTGGGCAGGACACTGCTTGCTTCGTCGCCATGGCAACAACATAGGCGGTCCACACCACCCGGCCTGTCCGGGCCACTGGGCAGTGTGGGAAGGCAGAAAGGTGGATCCAGGCCAGAGCAAAGGTAGAAAGGCGGCTCCGGTCCGGAGCGAAGGCGGAAGGAGCGAAGGCGGTGCTGGCAGCCAGAGGAAGGAAGGCCCATTCTTGCGTGAATCTTCGTGCATCGGCCTCTAGTATATGTAAGTGAAAGTCTATGAGAATTCTCTGTTGTTCTTCAGCTTTTTAAATGAGTGGTATTATGTCAAAAACGTTTAAAGAAACTTTTTACAGTACTTGTAATAAAGTTCAGTTGCTACTGAATTCCATA